CAAGATGATGATGTCGTTAGAGTTAACAGTATAAACTTCTTCAATATATTGATATGATTTAGCAGAATTATACTCGAATAGTCTTTTGATTTATAGATTGAGGAAGTAAACGATGGTGAATTGAAAAATATGGAGTTTGAATCAAATTCACCTTACATTTTCGTGATTCCAGAAACGAGGAAACTATACCGGCTGACACAGACTCATGGTATACCCTCCTTTCCTCCTTCGGTTTTTTAGCATTATATTTCTGAGATTTGAAACATCGAAATGTTCACCAGAGGACACTTTCCCACATTTTAGGAATTTTTTTATCATCGGGTTTTTCTGGAAATAACATCAACTTTCAATGTCCAAAGAAATTCTGTATTTCTTTCCATAATCGGTGAGAGATTAATATAACGAATTCAACAATAGCGGGTTTGATTGGGTTATATCAAACGATTACGAAGATTAGTCACTTTTGAAGTTTCCATAAGCTCAATGGGTGTGACGGCGCAATATTGAAACTTCTTTCTCCGTCAACACCAACTTGAGAACCAGTGCTTGAAGATAGTTTAGTCAACCGGGTATCAACAAATCTATCAGATATGTCATAGAATCTGAAATATTAGGTGTCTCAACATGTGGTTTGGTATAGGTGAATGGTATGTGAAGAAGAAAGTTTTCGGATATTTTTCATTTCCTGGATTTCCTGGTCACTTCTGGTTTCACCGGAAATGTCCATAGTTTCGAATTTTTATATAAACACATTGCACTGACCTTCTTCTCTTGAGAATTACACATTCTGATCCAGTATTATCTCAGGCATTCAAAAATGATATACAGGGTGTTTTGTTTTAAGATTTAATACGGGTTCCAATTCTGGTTACATCGGAAGTGACCAGAAAGTGGGAAATATGCCAAAGCTCTCCTCTATGAACCAATTATTTATTATAGCCATACCGTGGACATGATGTAATGAAACAGAGAGTTCCTTCGAATATCATTTGTACATGGAAGGAATATTTTTATATTTGAGGTGAACATTCGACTAGGCGATATCAGGGTGTTTATAAAAAACCTGACCCCCTTGCTAGAGTAGGTATAACACTGCAAAATGAGTTGGGTTTGCTCGGTAGAAGAAATTTGGAACAACATCCGTTTTCAAGATACAAGGTGTTGAAATTTTTTTTTTACATTTTTCACGATTCTGTCGAAACTTTTGGGAACATTGTGATTGAATTTCGTGCGGATATGTTCTCGTCTCATAGACGGCGCTAGTTACACGGTTCGTACCGAGTAGTCTCAAACATAACTTTTTTAGATTTTTCAATTCAATTTTTCAATCCAATTTTACGGTCTTCAAATTTGTTTCTATAAGAGAATAAGGTCCAACTGATATTGCATTTCTTTAAAAGACGCTCTCCGCAGCAAGTATCGGCAGCGGCTCCGACAGATCTGGTCGTCAGAACTGTCGGGGAAGAACAAAGTCGCTGCGACTAACATGCTTGCTGTTCCGATCCTACTTTACTCATTTGGAGTGATAAAGTGGACTCAAGTCGAGCTGCGACAACTTGACGTAAGTACTCGCAAGATGATGCATTTCCATAGGAGTCTGCATCCAAATTCGTCCGTTCCACGGTTATACATACCTAGAGACCAGGGTGGCCGTGGACTCTTGAGCTTGGAGTATCTCCATAACAGAATGGTTCTGGATGGCGCCTGCAAAGTCATCAGGAGTTCGGATCCCCTTCTGCAAATGGTTAAAACCCATGAAGATGCAGGAGTAGGAGCTTTTCTTTTTAGGGCAGCACGTCGAGCAGCCGATGAATTGTCTCTGATTTTCGACTCCGAGCGCGAGGCTCAGGACTCAGTTACTGAGCTAGAACCCGCTCGGAGAAAAGCCCGCATCAAAGCTGCAGAAGTGAAAAAGCTCCTGCAGCTTCCCATGGATAAGCCCATGCATTCGGTCTACTTCAAGACCATTGAAGACCGGGGCTTATCCAAGGAACTGACTTTCGCTTTTCTTAAGTCAGGCGGGTTCAAATCGGAAACAGAGGGGTTCATCATGGCATGCCAGGATGGGGTTTTCAACACTCTCGTCTACCGTAGCCGTGTCATGGGTATGGAGGTCCCTGACACAAATTGCAGGGCCTGCCGCAGGGCGCCCGAGACAATAATGCACCTGCTGTCTTCGTGCACGGTGTATGCAGTCTCGGCCTATATCCATAGACACAATGCGGCACTGCGAGTGCTCTATTACCACTTGAGGCACTCGTACGGAATAGACGAGACCCCAGTGCTGCCCTATGCTCCGGGGGATATTGAGTCCGTTGTGGAGAATGAGAGGTGCCGAATTTATTGGAACTTCTCATTCCCCACCCTCAGGCAAATACAAGCTAACAAGCCTGATGTAGTCCTCCTCGACCATCAAACCAAAGCGATGTTCGTGATCGAGTTTTCGGCGCCAGCCGAACCGAACATCGTTTTGAAGGAGGAGGAGAAACGGACTAAATATCGAGATCTTCTCTTCGAACTCCGCCGGCTCCATCCAGACCATTCTGTGGAATTGGTCATCCTGATTATCGGCTCCCTAGGAGGCACACGACACACGCTGCTCTCGGAGATCCAGAAAATCCCAGCGTGCCATGATAAGGCACACATCCTGGCTGGTGGAATGCAGAAGGCCGTCATACTAGGATCATTGCGTCTACTCAGGGCACACGGTACTTGGTCCCAGTGATTACTCACCTCACAGGCTGTGAGGAGTAGTCACTGGATTTTATCCAGCACGACTCTGCGAGACGTCGGAGGCCGCAGGGTCGTGACTGGAATTATATGAACTAAAATAATAATAATAATAATTTATTCGCCATTTAGGTACAGGGTGTACATATGGTAAGTCATACAATGCGTAAGTCACATGATACAATAAAACCAAAGTGTAGATCACTGATTAAAAATATCAATCATATGAATAAATGAAATCAAAACGGATCTGACGATAGCACAACACAGGATACATATTTAAAAGTGAAGCGATTAACAGTATAAATAAAATCATAGACTGAGTCCAAATGACCACGACCATATAAAATTAAAATCATTGAATTGAAGTTGTATTACGGAATAGGATGACAGCACACTACAAGTAAAATAATTCACAATAATGGATCATCAAAATATTCTTGATAGGAATAGTAACATTTTGTCAGTCAGCAAACATTTTATTTTGTTAAAAAATAATCTATCACATTCAGAATTTTTAATTTCCGTTGGCAGTTTGTTGTAGAAACTCAGTGCTTTGTAGAGAGGAGAATTTTGGAATTTCGTGGTTTTGTGGTTTGGTATTTTTAGGTGACTAACATTGCGTGTGTTGTAAGCATAAGAAGAAGCATTGGTATCGAAGGATTTCAAGTTGCTTCTAATGCATTTCAAACATTTCAAAATATAGATGGATGGAGCAGTCAACAATTTCTTTCTTATAAATATTGGTTTGCAACTATCTCGATAGTCCATATCAAATATTAATCCTACGATATACGTTTCTGCCCTATAAACACTCTACCAAAATCTTTACCACATCCCCATGACATAGTGTTGAAGGAAATGTGTGAGTATGCCATTGCATAATAAATGCTTAATAAACGCTCCTTGATTTTTTTTTCCTTGTTTCTTTGGGATTTTCTCTCCTCGTTTCTATAAAATAGAAATATTCGTATTATTTCAATAATTATTTCAATAATACGAATATTTCTATTTTATAGAAACGAGGAGAGAAAATCCCAAAGAAACAAGGAAAATGAATGTATCACCTCCTCGATTAACCTACAGACAGTATTTAAACTCTCCTTGCCTTAATTCTCACTCTCCTCAATTTGATCCTGAATAAGTGTGATGTGAGTTTGCACTATTCCAGATGATGTGCTTAACATATGGAAGTCAAAAATTGCAACGTTCAGCACCTTCTTCCAGTTTTGTGATTGTGGCTAGAAAACAGTACGTCGAACGGAAAATGACAACCCATTCTATAATAAAAGAGGGCTGATATCTTCGTAGAATGATCAAAAATTTTTCGAATTTGGTTCAGTTGTGATTTTCCAGGACTATACGGGTGTCAATTTGAAAACTTCCCACCCTCAATATCTCCCTCCAAGTCGATAATATGGAAAAACGAAAAGACAGGTCAATTTTATTTTCGAGGGGGACATGGTTCTGAAATATTTTCAGCCCCGCGGCGTAGCCGCTTCTAACGAAAAGAAGCAACAACTTTGTTATTTCACATGGAACACCCTGTATTTTATTGCATTTTTAGATTCTCACTGAAAAGCTAATTTCATCAATGCATCACACTTGGGGTCTAGCAGAAATGATTACAGAGATATAGGGTGTTCAAAATCGAGATTTTACAACTTTACACATTAGTGGTTCAAGATTCAGACTTTTGATCACCCTGTATTTGTTTTAAATAAATGTCAGTAGATAGTGAATCAAAAGTTGAGATAGGGACATAAAAGCCGTTTTGACCAATAATGAATAGTTTCGACTCAAAAAAATCCTAAAGTTGTAAAATCTCGATTTTGAACACCCTATATCTCTGTAATCATTCCTGCTAGACCCCAAGTATGATACATTGATGAAATCAACTTTTCAGTGAGAATCTAAAAATGCAATAAAATACAGGGTGTTCCATTTGAAATAACAAAGTTGTTGCTTCTTTTCGTTAGAAGCGGCAACGCCGCGGGGCTGAAAATATTTTAGAACCATGTCCCTCTCGAAAATAAAATCGACCTGTCTTTTCGTTTTTCCATATTATCGACTTGGAGGGAGATATTGAGGGTGGGAAGTTTTCAAATTGACACCCTGTATATCTATGAAACCGAAAGTCCTATCGGGAAAACTCATAGATTAAAAGCTGTGGAGAATGAAATTCCTGTTGAATTGATATTTCATTTTCGAATATGGTCATTTTGAAAAACTGAATTCTGCATTAATACAGAATCGATTTTTTCCAGTACCTACCAACCTAATTCTAAGTTATCTCTACGGTTTGTTGAATTAGATTTGGCAACTTCATTATTTGTTACTGAAAGTGTAATAAGAGCGGGATCGCCCATATGTCGGAGTACTATAACCCTTCTGTGGTCACTCTCGATCACAGTGAATCCACTCTTCTCCGATTTCCCTGTTATGGCTTTCCCAGTTCCATTTGCTTTTTGCCTCAATACACTGTACCCTGTGAATAGGATGTTAGTGAGTTGTGTGCACACGTCTAAGTTGTAAAACTCCTCTACTGGCAGTTTCATTGTGCTGTACAAAGTCAGGTAGCTATTTACTATGGCAGTTATACATTTCCTCTTTTGATCTTCGTCAATTTCAATCCTGGGCTTTTTGGCAGTCCCGACTTCACGACTTTCATCATTTGGGTCTACAACTATAGTCGATTCGTCATTCCTCCGTTTCTTAGTGCTGGAAGTTGATGGTACGTCTGGGCACCGAACATCTTTAGTTGATGTTCGGTGGTCTGGGTCCACTTCCATGGTTGGTGTCTGTTCCTCTGTTCCTGACATTTTTTTATCTTGGTACTATATGTTTCTTCTATAAAGGCGGTCTGTTTCTACTATTTCCCAACCCATTCCTAGAGGGACAAGAACATTTACTAGTTATTCCGAGAATATTAATAAGTGAGATTTTATATACACATCATGCAGAACCAATAGCTGGCCTGAACGATTTGCTCAGTGTCCTTGACAGAAGGCGAAAGAGGTTCAAGCTTATGCAGACAACTAGATTATCTTGGCAACAACCACGATGGGTGTGGTTGCCTCAAATATTATCAAAAACGGTTGGATGTCGTTTACAGTTGGCGCCAGAGGAGACAGATGTCTGTCATCCCAAGCAGAATTGTAGTAGTGCCCTCTAACAGGAGGGATCTGAATGACCTAACGCCACTCTTCTCCATCGGTGAGCAGAAGTCGAAGCGGAAGCGGAAGTGAAAACCTAGGGATAGTGCTCCATGAAAAACTCATGTGGAAAAGATTATCTTCATGAAGATGTCGAAGGATTGTCGAACATCTTTGGGCTCGAGGTCCAAACAAATTCACTGGGTATTTGTGATGATCGACAGTACAACTGGACCAGATCCGAGGATTTCATACTCATTCTACGCATAATCTCACCCTCCTCGATAATATTGAATGGGTTGCGTCATTTTTCATATCCGACGTACTGTTTTCGAGCTGCAAGCGAAAAGCTGAACAAGTGCATTTTTTGGCTTCCGTAAGATGAGCTCACCTCCTGGGATAGTGCAAACTCACATCAAACTTATTCAGGATCGAATGAAGGTAGGTAGGTATTGAAACGATGTTCAGCTTGGTGGCAATCGCTTTTTTGAAACGGTTTCTTCATTTAGTTTTTTGGGTCCATTTGAAGAAACATGATATAATAATAATAATACCTAATGCTTCTATTGTCAACAATTCACGAAGAAAATTAAGAAACAAGAAATCAGTGTTACATAAAATGTTGACGAAAGGCGGAGTTCGGACTAACTGCAGGAAGCTCTCTGCTTCAGCAGAGAGCAGCGCTCTTCCACTCAACCTTGCAAATATTAAACAATAATTGAGAATAATATACAAAAAAATACAAAAGAGGGTATGACCCTATCCCCCTTACAAGAATGGGAAGAATTAGATATACATTATGAATGTCCTGAAATTACAGTGAAAGTGATATATTCATTATTATTTATAAAAATTCTGTTCCAATTACCTATATCTAGATTAAAAGGAATGTGAAGGTTCTGAATCTATTTCCGAATAGTTTTTCTGGACATGATATCGAAATGGATTCGTTCCAAGGTTCTTCATATCGTCCGGTATTTCACTGCATGTATGTGTTAGTTATATGGTACGTGAAAGACCCTTTGAATGCATTCGTTTGGTGCGGAGGGACAGATAACAGGTTCCTGCATCTCAAATCAACATTGTGCACTTGTGAACAAAACTTTATTTTACTGTAAAGATATGATGGAATGTGATATTTTATGACTTTATGAAAAAAAAGCACATGCGTGTTCTGATCGTTTCTTTTCCATGGAGAGCCAACCAATTCGTTTTAACGTCTCCTTATGCCGCGAATGGATGTTAGAAAGAATTTTGAATCAGCTGAATTCGCCTGCAATTTATTTTACGTAAATTGAGTCCATAAATGGTATCAGCATAATTGGAGGGAGACGAATGTGTAGTAACTTATGATTATAATACGCTTTTCTGATTGTCTCAGAAATATGGTTGGAAAGGTTGAGACCGCACAATCCATGATTAATCCAAGATTACGAGCAGAATTTCTCATATCCAGACTCTGATTATATATTTGTAAGAATATATTATTTCTTTGACGATTGAGTCCAATTTTACGAAAAAATAACATGACATTTGATTTGAAAGAATTAATTGATAAACAGTAGTCATAGGACATTTGGACAAAGTTATTTAGGTCCTCATCAATCATTTGACATGCCAGCACTGTATTTTTGTCGTTGAAAGATTGAATAAGCTGTGTATCATCGCAATGAACATGGGCCTGTCAGTGTCTTTTAACAATAATTGTCACGTATACAGCGTGATAATGAGGGGGCCAAGGACCGAGCCTTGCGGTACTCCAGACGTAACTGATACTTGGGAGGGATTTTTTTGAATGTTCTGGTTCCCACGAAAAGGGATATCCTGTAATGTTCAGAGAACATCGTGAGAACCAAGGGAAATGAGGTAAGAATTGGTGTTCTTGCCCTCAGGAAACACCTCCCTAGGCAATGTTTTCCAGAACCCTGCTGTTCGTTGGATGAACGAGTCTTTGGAAAAAGATGTTCCGCAGGTCTCCAAAGTGACCACGAATGGGTGCGAAGCCTCAATTCGACGGGTTGATCTCGCGGGGACTGCCAAGGAAGGTATAAAATTGTTGATATTTCAGAAGAGCATCGTCCATGGAAATATCTATAAAATAGAGCCAGATCGCCAACTTTTCTACGGTGTTCCAGAGGAGTGAATGAGTATGTGAGCGAGGCATCACCCACGAGACGAATTGCACTTTTTTGGACAGAATCAAACAGTTTCAGGGTATGTTTGGGTGCTGCACTCCAAATATGGGAACAGTATTCCAGGACAGGTCGGATCTGTGCCTTATAGATCATAAGCAGTTGTCTGGAAGTTTTAACAATTTGTGTACTACCACTTATTCAATCCTTTTTCAAGGCAACAGCAGACTCTGTGAAGCCAAGATAGTGCAAGAGTGAGAGCAAGAGTTTGTGATTGATTCTGTCGAACGCCTTTGAGTCATCCAGCAAAACTAGAACAGACAACTCATTGATATCCGTGGCCTTCGAAATTCCATTTGTAACATTGGTCAACGCTGTTGCATAACTGTAGCCAGGACAGAATCTTGCTTGATTCTCTGGTACAATTTTGTCAATATGTATATATGTGTGCTGATCTGTCTTTCTTAAATTTTCTTCATCGCCTTTGACAGGATGCAAAGTTGACTTATAGGCCCAGTCTTCAACTCTCTCGGGAAATTTACCTTTGGCAAACAAATTACCACCGCTTGCTTCAAAATCTCTTGAAACGTTCTACTTGGAATTATAAAATCGAAATGTGCTCTAAAATAGGTTAAATCAGGAGACACTGTAGTAGTATCATTTCAATGCATATGGCGTCAGCACCAATAGCGTGTGATTTGATACCCAGAAGAGTTTTGTAAATTTCCAGCACAGACGTGTTACCGAAGCTGAAGTCATTAATATCAACAGACAGTTTATTGGTTCGAGAAAAATCTACAAGGTTAGTATTAGATGGTTCCGTTGCACTGCAGTTACTGAAAAAAAAAATATTTCTACAGGGTTAGACGTTTCGAATGGTTAGGGAGTTTGTGATAGTACTGCATATTTAAGTTTTGTGAGACCTTCCACATCTTATTTACTTCTATCGTATTGATCTTGTGTTCTAGTTATATTTTTTGTAAGCGCTTGGTAGTGTAATTTGTTGCGTTCCTTAAATTTTCATAGTTTTCCATGCTTCAACAGTTTCGTTCTTCTTATAGCTAGAAAATGCTCTATCCTTTCTACCCTCTTCCTATTCATCACTGATCACCAGATCTTTGTTCAAAATAATTCAGATCCACAGGTTGAAATTGAATATTTACCTTGAATTATTATTCGTTTACTCTCATCATGAGTTCTTCTCTTAGCTTCTATACGTGCATTCAATACACTTCCATCCCGACGTTTCTCATCGCCCCTAACAGAAAGCAACCTAACAAAATTATCACGCCAATATGTATAGAGAGTAATCGAATATTCTTCATATTCGTCACACGGCTAATGACATTATTCAAGAGAGCGAAAATAATGGCAATAAAAATCGATGCCTCGGTAGATGTGGTCGGATGAAAGTGGTGACGTCACAAATATGACCTTTTATGCTGGAAGACCATCTGTCAAGTTAGACTGCAGGTCCTTTACGCACCCCTAGCAGCCGGGGGCTGTTGGTTATAGGAATACTCGTTATACGCGCTACTGGTGTCGATTTCAGTATTTGAATTCTTAATCAAATTGTATACCTTCTTTTATACAGGGTGATTCATTAAGAATAGGATATATCTGAACTACACATGGTGAACACTCAAATATTCAGATTTGGCTCAACATGCCTGATAGGAATGTTGCTGGTTCAGGAGAAACATGGTGTTCTTGGGGGAGATTTTATTTTAAACTTTCCCAATAACTTTGTCAGTTCTAACAGCATCAACATGGAATTGTGTAGTTTCAGGTTTCCTGACATGTGAAATACGAATTTGCAACTTATTTAGTGATTGCTAGGGCATACTATAGTGGTACTCTATAACTTCAGTAAATTACATAATATCTCCTTTGTCCATCAAATGATGATCAAAATAAGTGGAAAATCTGAAAGCCTGTTCAATTTCACATTGAAAAAAATACTTCCTTTCAAATTTCTTTCTAAATTGTTTTTGCGTTATTTGCTCTTGAAGAGATTGATGTTTCACTTTATAACCTTCTCATAATTTCAAATTGAAAAGTTAGCGAAGTGATAGTGACAATAATGAATGATGGCAATCACTTACAGAGCAGAAACCAAAAAAATAAATTTTTTTAACATCCTATATTTGCAATATTCATAATATAAGACATGTTTGGTTAAATCTTCATATTTTGATGGTGTTTATTGCTATCTGTAGTTCAGATATTTTCCCATTTTCAATCAATCAGCCTGTATATACCGGGTCTTTCTGTTGTTTATAATGTTACATATATGATTTCTTTGTTAATAAATATACAGTTAGAACCGTGTCTGAAAAAGTTGACAACAAATGAAAAAATCTTTTGTTATCAATTTTGAGAGCGAAAGTCATTCTCTATTGAAAGTTCTTGAAGACCCATGACCAAATATACAAGTAATAGAATTTTTTCAGTCGTATACGAGGTATGTCGAAATAAATATATTTTATTTTATTATTTTCGACGATACCGAAAATTATTATAGAGAGGAAAGTT